TTTCCCGCCATGTTTACCGAATGCGGTTCCCATGGCGCTGCTCTGTGATTGGTAAATTTCCTCAGCGCTTGCCGATCGGGTCGGATGCCACGCACACTATCCGAGTCGCGTCGTAAGCCCTCGCACACTATCCGCTCCCGATTCAAAATTCGAATCGGGCCAAAATGACCTCCCGAGCCAAACTTAGGCCTCCCGATCCGATCGCGCTCGGATCGGATAGTGTGCGGCTAGCGTCTATTTTTTCCGTACCGCAAATGCGTAAACGTTCTACAGTCTCACACGGGTTCCTCTGATTGGCTGTCTTTGATTTGCTTTGACGGAACAAACCTTACAAACAGAGAACAAACGCCCATTTGTAAATATTTGTTTTAGTTCATCATCAGTAGATAAGTAAGTTTTCTCATGTATTTTTTATGAAAAACACACATTTTACTCATTAATATAAAATATAATGTCACTATAATTACAATTCTTTGTTTAACTGTGTTATTTTCATCTTAATCTCAAGTTATGAGAGGGTTTGGCCTCTCGTAACGTATACGTACTCGTACTAGTCTATAGTATAGAGTAGCCCTTCGCTCTGTCGCAGGAGTAAAGATAGATACAATAATGTAACCCAACAACAATGTAACCCTATTCAATATGTGATTTGATTAACTGATCATTATTTCTTAACCTCTTCATTAATTCAAGTGAAACAAATTCATATATGTTGGTGACATTATAGCCTTCAAAACTCACTACTCAGTATATTACACCAGTCTTAAATATTATTCATGACCTGGGGCCATCGCACGAAAACGAAGCTAAGCTATGCAATTTTGTAAACAATGGCTGCTCAGGCAGGCACGCACAGAGGGGGTACACGCAACGTACACGCGGTACACGCACGTTACACGCAGATACACGCACGTACACGCGGGTACACGGAGATACACGCACGTACACGCGGGTACACGCACATACACGCGGGTACACGCACGTACGCGCGAGTACACGCGCGTGCACGCGGGACACGGCACGTACCGCGTGTACGCCGCGTGTACAT